AGCAGTTTAAATAATGTCACAGAATATATTTACTGTTATCTGTCCTATGATTATAAGAAACTTCATAGAGTTACTCGGGCACATGTTAAGCCTAGGATTGAAAGTGAATTCCCGCCTCACTACGCAACAGCAATGAAGACAACAAGAAAGCAGAAGTGAGCCCAAGGATTTGAAAAACCGGCAGGCTTGAGTTCTGATCTCATCCACCACCATGTCTTTAAAGGGCAACGCAACACAGTGAGACTGTAGTTTACAATGAAGCTCACAAGCAGTTACATTCCATAATTTTTAAAATGTTACCCCGTGGAAGAACAGCAAAAATGTGCAAAGTACCTAGGATGGAGTTTAACAAAAGGTGTGCAAGACTTAAAGGAGAAAATGATGCAACTATGCTGAAAGGCATTAAACAAAGTCTACTCTTTGGGAAGCATTGAGGCTCCAGTCTGGGAGGGGCACACAGGGGGCTTCAGAGGAACTGGTAGCATGCTGTTTCTTAAGCTTAGTCGTATATCTATGAGTTTTCATTTTATTATTGTATGGCTTTTATGCAGTATATATATATATAATATATATATATTACTTTCTTTGTGTATGTAAGAAATATTTCATAGTAAGTATCTTTGCCAATTTCCAGGGATTATTTTGCATAAGGATCACAATAAGTTGGTTGAATAATAAAAACTTTTAGAGCAGGTAAGTAAGACAGACAAGAAGATTTGTTGTTACCAACCGGGAATCTCCAAAATAAATGGGCTATTCACAGAGAGGACTGGGTTGAGAGCATCACTTCTGGAGATTACAAAAATATTCCTTACCCCTTTTTAAAAAAATGTGTATTTGTTCTATTAATTTAAAAAATGCATATTCCCTAGCACCACACTTAGAAGTCACTCAATAAATATTTGTTGAACAAGTGAGCAAATGGATGGAAACAAGCAAATTCTCCCATGTTTTAAAGTTATTTTTGTACATGTTGTCTGTTACCAGCCAGCCCAGGCCAACTCATAGATCTGCTATAAAATCCTGCTACCCGGGTGCTGAATCCTACCCAATTCCTGAGTCAATGCAGCCTGGATGTTTGGGTGGAATGGAAAATTGCCTCTCCACGGATGACTCAGTGTCTAGCCGATGTCTGATGTCTTGAGCTGGTGTCCGGTGTGCCTGGGGTGAACTTAGCTTCAGGACACAGCACCCGATATGCCCAGCATTTCCTCCTGCAGAGCACACTCCCTTTGTGGAGACCCAGGGTTGCCCAGAGGTGTGGAAGGGGTAGAGCTATGGGCCAGGCGATGTCATCTATTACAGGGGTCCTGTATATCCATTGCAGGTCAGGGTGGTGGG